TCTCTCTCTCTCTCTCTCTCTCTCTCTCTCTCTCTCTCTCTCTCTCTCTCTCTCTCTCTCTCTCGTCTGAAAAAGAAGAAGAAGAAGATGAAAGGAGGAAGGAGGAAAGAGGGAGACGAGAGAGAGACTAGACGAAGAAGAAGAAGATGTCTTCCTCCTCGCTGTCTCACCTGCAGATACCGCCGCCATGGACTGATCGCTGTCGCATCACTGTCATGTGCAGGTCGGCGCGCCGTGCTGGGACCAACTGGGTGTGCTGCAGAGTGGACTGAAACGGCCCGCACGGTCGGGGCCCCTACCGGGTGTCCCGACCGTGCTGCTGATGCAGCAGGGCGCCAAAGTGCGCCTGGCCCCGATCGGCCCTGCCTCCTGGTGTATCCAGCCCAACGCCTCGCCTTGGGGACTGCAAGTCCGAAACGACGTCTGAACAGACAAAAATAGGACAGTAAATAAATAAATAAGTGCTGCCTCAAAAACCATACCTGCGGCCTAAAGGCTGCCGTGGGCCTCCAGGGCGCGTGTCAGATGGGCACGCGGCCTGGGGTCCCCCCAGCAACCGTTGGGCCCCTCAAATGGGCCCGTGTGCAGGGGCAGCATGTAACAGCCTGTGTTAGGGCCCAGCGTCGGTTCAGGCCGTAGTCCGTTATAGGACCTAGTCAGGCCTAGGGGTACCGGTTGGTTTAGGTGCCAGTCCCAGGCCCAGCATCGGTCAGGCGCCACTTTTCATTTAGGCTCCATGTCTGCTTCAGACACTGGCACACTTCCGCACCACAAGCGGTTAACAGGGACCCCCACTTTTCTGCATTGGTTGAGGCAGCCTCCCAGTCGGACCAGCACTACTTATAGCCGGTCCGCCCAGTAGTTGGTAGGCAGTATTCAGGTAGACTTCAGTAGTCGATGCGCTGGGCGCTGTAGGATTTGAGTAGAGCGCTGGGCACTGATAGAGGTTGACGATGCCAGGGAGAGAGGAGGCTGGCGGAGGCCAGGGGACTTACCTGTTGACTTACCTGCGGTGCCATAAGTCGACGCGCTGGGCACTGTAGGATTTGAGTAGAGCGCTGGGCGCTGATAGAGGTTCAACTTGACGATGCCAGGGACAGATGAGGCTGGCGGAGGCCAGGGGACTTACCTGTTGACTTACCTGCGGTGCCATAACTCCAGCTTCGTCTTCAGCACATCCGCACCTGCATCAAGGCGAAACCTTTCTGCAGGTTAGTGCCTGGTACACATACAGAGGATTTCTGCTTCTTCTCCTTCCTCTGTCTGTCCTCCATCGCTCCCCCGCTTTCCCTCCAGAGCTTCTTCTTCTTCTTCTTGTTCTTCCCTTCTGCTGAGGCGATGGATGGGGAGAGAGAGAGAGAGAGAGAGAGAGAGAGAGAGAGAGAGAGAGAGAGAGAGAGAGAGAGAGAGAGAGAGAGAGAGAGA